GTGTGTGTATGTGTGAAGAACTGCATACTACTTGGTTGTAAAATAATTGCTCTTATGGCTTTGTCAAACTGCTGCCTACCTTTGTGCAAGAAAATGACTAAAACAAAGTGAATTCAGTAGAACCTTTTATTGCCTACCTGGAAGTTTTTATTTAAGAGAAATGGACATCATACATGCAGCTACATGCGATTTACAGAGCGTGTCGTGGACTACAGATGTTTTTATTTAAAGTCATTGATGATTTCAGTTTTAATTCCTCAGTTAACTTTTTTCCCTTTATGCACCATAAGATGAAGCAGATTTCGTTGTATCTGATTCTGGTCCAAAGTCCAGAACAAGACAGCAGATCCAGGGAAACTCTAACTCCTGTCGGTTTCTCTCTATGGAGGCTGTTAGAAGGAAACTTAATGTGCCATCTCGCCCTCTGCTTCACCCCATGCACAGCTTCTCCTGGCCATAAACTTTTAGCTGAGTATTGAGCCCTGAGTGATAGCTTACAGCACAAGCTGCCAAGTCCAGGTCACAGACCTCTCAACATTTACAGCAGGAAGTCCACTTAGAGGCTCTGCCTCATCTGACTGAGCTGCTTTCCATCTGTTGTCTGTTTGAAAACTATTTTGGGAAAATTAACAGATTCTTTTATTTGATGTGAAACTTAAAAGTCGGTTGAAAAATATTTCTTCTATTTTATTGTTCATAGAAGAAGAAACTGACACAAGTATAAGAAGGAGAGACAGTCCATAAAAAGGAAATCCATAGCAACCTAAACAAGTTTAAAAAGAAGAGTGGTAGATTTGTTATGAACTGGGATGAATGAGTGTTTGATATCACCGTGCAGAAAATTGGGCCATCTACCATTCAAAAGGACTGTTTGAATTTAGACCACAGGCAGTCTGCCTGAGGTACCGTGTTCTGTCAGATCAGCATACCACATCAGAACAGCATACCTATGGTAAATATGCATGCACAAGACGTCAGATTTATGTTTATCTCTTTAGTTTTGTAAGAAAAATAGACTTTAAACTACCTTGACGGGTGTGTATCCCTTTAGTCTTTTACAAAAAAAGTATTTATATCCATTCCTATAAAACAATTTAGATAGGAAAATTTCATTGATGTCTTGCATAAAGTCAACTACAGATAAGCTAAACACCGTAGACCCTTCAGGGTTTTCTGCAAGAGGACATAATCCATGATATCATCAATTACTACAAGTAGTCTTGACCCAATAATACATATCAGTCCTAAATCAATTACTCTACTGCCACCATATTTAAAGTGGAAGAAGATTTTCTAACATCTGCTTTACACCCAGTAAAGTTAGCCTTCTGTTTGCCAGGTAACAAACAATATCAATAGTTTTTATGGCAGATGCTGGATAGTCTGTCCCTGCAGTTAGAGGAGAACTGAACCTTTTCTGAACCTGAAGATTTTCACTGGTCTTTTTGGGAAAACATGAACACTGTCTTTAACTGAGGTGGGTGAGGTCTACTACTGTTATCTTGTTCTGTTTTTGTGGATAATAGTTAGAATGAAACCCACTTCACTAGAAATGTCTGTAACAGAAATTGCTGTTGTTAAATCCTTAG